GAGAGAGAGAGAGAGAGAGAGAGAGAGAGAGAGAGAGAGAGAGAGAGAGAGGGAAAGAGAGAGAGAACGTCAGAGTGCCATTTTCATGTTCGTCCTTTGCACCTCATCTTCTTATCGATTTTGATGGTACTCGTTGCCCGGTTCTTCAACTGTTCAAGGTCCCCACTTCCCTCAGCAATCCCAAGTAACTGTCGGTCCGTCGCTAGCTGGCATTTGCAGCAACGACGCTTCGTCGACGAAAACAGAAGTGCGGTCGTCATCGTCATGAATCATGATTATCACCACCATCATTACCGTTCAAGTCTTCGAGGACTGGAGTTTGAGAGTTGAGAGTCTGTTCTAGAACCTGGGAAAGTGTAACAGATCGATCGAGCTGAAGAGCTGCTGTTTTTTCCTCTCGTCTTTGTCCCCAACTTGGCTTGACAATGTTGACATCTCCATAATATCCATCACAGAGCGCCAGTTCTTTATCACGATCTTCGATCGTCTTTTTCGTACTCCTTTCTCCACCACATCCATAGATTCCATACCCATCTGCAAACCATCTTGTCCACGTGTTCAAACCACCTTGCGCAAGTCTTCAACGTTCAAACCATCACGATGACGTGCTCGATGATTTTTTTATTTTTTTTTTGAAACAAGACGTGTTCGATGATTTAACTTCGATCAACTTCGATGTGTGTTAACACTGTTAATCCATCAGCCATCTTGTGTTGTGTTCTTTCCGTACTTACTATATTTCTCGACCATAGCCCACTAGGCTCTAGCCATACCTATCACAGGCTATCAGCAAACCCCCTAAACCTCGTGGAAGTGTTCAAACCCTAAACCTTGTGGAAATGCCCCAACTTCAAACCATCTTGTGGAAGTCTCCAGACCATTTTGTGGAAGTGTGTGCAAAAGTTGTAAACCATCTTAAAGTTTTGTTTTCGTACTCATTTCTCGAATCTCGACCATAGCCATACCCGTCCGCAAACCATGTTGTGCAAGTGTTCAAATCACCTTGAGCCTTGTGGAAGTGTTCAGCCCATCTTCTTGTGGAAGTGTTCAAGCCATCTTCTTGTGGAAGTGTTCGAACGACCTTGTGGTCCTTGTGCAAGTGTTCAGCCCATCATTAGGAAGTGCTCAATGTGTTTGTAAGAGGCTTAAACCATGTTGTGTTTTAGCTATGCTTGGTTCTTTCACTATTATTGTTGCACGTCACATGTATTCTATGCCACCATATCCTTATTTAGCAATTGATTATGGAACTCATCTTTCTTTATTTACCCATCATACATATGTGGATCGGTGGCTTTTGTATAGTAGGTGCCGCAGCACATGAATCTCGACCATAGCCATAACCATCCGCAAACCATCATTTTGTGGAAGTCTTCAAAGTTCAAACTACCTTGAGGCTTGAGGTAGTGGTCAAACCATCTTCTTGTGGAAGTTCTCAAAACCATCATCTTGTGGAAGTTCTCAAAACCATCATCTTGTGGAAGTGCTCAAACCATCATCTAGTGGACGTGTGTGTAAACCTTCTTGTGGAAGTGCGTGTAAAGTTGTAAACCATCTTGTCAACGTGTGCAAACCAGCTTGTGGACAATGTGGGGTCGTGGTCAAACCATCTTGTGGAGGCGTTTCTTGTCAGGGAGGGAGCCGATGAAGATCATGAAGTAGTACCAGCCTACCAGGAAGAACTGTGGAAGAAGCAGAGGGAAACTGATGCAGTGGCAGGAAGAATCGACGGTTCCGAGAGAAACTGATGCAGATCATGCAGTACCAGGAAGAAGCAAAGGACCCGCGGGGACACAAGTAAAACAAAGGGAGGGAGTTGCTTCGAGGGGAGAGAATGCAGAGATGCAGAGCTGCTCTCTTGTCTTTGAGCTGTTCTCGGCTTGTCCTCTCCGCGTCAGCGGCTGAGCTGTCGTTCCTCGCCTGCCTGATGCTGACTCAGCTGTAGCCACTGCGATCCCTCAAGGGCCTCAAAACTAGAGCAATGGGTACGTAATTATGTGCGCTTTCAGTCTGCATTCATGGAATTGCTTATCGTCGGATATATGGCACGTACTTATGTGCGCTTTCGGTCTACATTCAGGCAATAGCTGATTGTCGCATATATTTTGTTTGTTTTGGTCTCTATGCTTAGTAAGTTAGTATACTGGCCTTACATCCAGATCGACGGTCAAAAGAGTCGCTTTTTTTTTGCTTTTTTTTTTTTTTTTTTTTTTTTTTGTAAGCGTGGTAGAGTATCCGGATAGATGGTCAAAAGCGTGGGCAGCTTTTTTTTCATTTTTCTGTTTTTTAAAGCGTCGGCAGTGTATCGGAGCGATAGTCAGAAGCGTTTTCTGTTTTTTAAAGCGTCGGCAGTGTATCGGAGCGATAGTCAGAAGCGTCATTCAGTGGAATTTGGAGTTTATCAAATGTACGGTTATGTACCGCATTGATTTGTGCAGCTCGTCCTGTTTCACGTACGTAGAATTCGATTTCTTTACTAGAGCTGAAATTTCGTTTATTTATTCATGATGTATTTATTGTGTACGATTTGATACTTCCCCTGATTGTAAGGCACTCGAATCACTCGATTTGATCGTGCCTTTAATTCTAAGAGAGCAGTTATTGGAGACTTGCGAGAAGCTGCGAACTTGCGACCCTCTCCGCCGTTATCATTGTCATCTGTTTTACGTCCTTCGCCTGCTTTCAGTGCTTTGTTCTTAAACTTATGCTCTGTCTACCTGATGCGGACGCCGGACGGGTCCCATTGCTGAAGTAAGAGGGAGGGGGCAACAATGACGAGGAGGAAAGACTCTCTCTCTCTCTCTCTCTCTCTCTCTCTCTCTCTCTCTCTCTCTCTCTCTCTCTCTCTCTCTCTGTGTGTGTCTCTCTCTGTGTCTCTCTCTGTGTCTCTCTCTTTTCCCCCCCCTGCCCTCTCTCTCTCTCTCTCTCTCTCTCTCTCTCTCTCTCTCTCTCTCTCTCTCTCTCTCTCTCTCTCTTTGGGTGATGCCGCCCATGGCAAACAAATACCATAGATGAGACGACGATCGCATCCGTGCTTTTTGGCACTTCGTACACAGCAAAGGCGACGCAAATAGATAATGTTCTTGACAAGGACTAAATATGTTTCATTCGAAGACTTCCATTGAGACTCTTATCGCGCAAAAAAGAGGTTCTGTGGGCAAGACGATGGCCTTGCATGACACAGAACTGATAGGGAAAGAAAAAGAAGAAAACAGAACAAAAAGGAGGACGAAAGGGATATTGGCAGACTGGACTGTTCGTTGGACTACCCCCGATCCGTCAGTGCGCCGAACCCGGGAGCCCCTGAAAGGTGAAAGTATACAGAATCCCCTAATAGTGCTTTGAGTCATAAACCGCTTTCAGCTCAGCGGCTACCGTCTTGACCCGAACAGAACGCACGGACAGCATAGCTGCACTGGAAGTGGGCCAAATACAGGTACAACGACAGGGCGTTCTATTCGGGTGAAGACTGTACTGAGCAGGCACGCAGATGAAGGCCACAAGATAAGCAGCAGCAAGGCGGGGCAGCACGGAAAGCAGCCAGGCAACAAGGCGGGGAAGCACGGAAAGCAGCCAGGCAACAAGGCGGGGAAGCACGGAAAGCAGCCAGGCAACAAGGCGGGGCAACAAGGCAAACTGCAGCATATGGCAGACAGGCCAGGCCCGACAGGGCAGAGAGCAAAGCGAGTATCAGCAAGGCAACCGCGCAGGCGCCAGCAGCATCAGCAAGGCAACATGGCAGCATCCACACGGCCACCTCAAGGAACAGAGTTCGCACCATATGGACAAGGTGCAAACTGTAGGTTCATGCCACCCTCAGGAACCTAGAGCCACAAGAGGAAAGCATGTCACTACCAGGAAACACAGGTATCCGGGACACACTCCACCTCTCCTATAATTGTGCAAAAGGCACCCCCATCAAGTATTGCCTATTCAACCAGTTTGGCACCTCGTGTGCAAGAACACACACTGTTAGTAAAAACTGAGTGCAATTTATGTGTAGTATCTCAAGAGAAGCTGAAACCTCACTATTTGTGAGTTGGTGTGTTCGTGTGGGTGTGTGCGTGTGGGTGTGTGGTTGTGTGGTTGTGTGTCTGTGTGTGTGTGTGTGCCTAAGAAAGGGAGTGAAATAGAAAACCTGAAACCCGATGCAAGCAATCAGTCGAAGGCTGAAAGATGCATCATCAATCAATGGATGATGGATCTGCAAAGGTTAACGGCGTACCTTTTGCATAATGGGTCAGCGAGTAAATTGATACAGCAAGCTTAAACCGTTAGGTGTAGATGTAATGGCACACCATGTCACCGTGTTGTCCTACTTCACACTGTTCACAGACTCATCAGGAGTTCGAGCCCCAACAG